TAGTCCTGGTTTAGACCTTCTTTAGTCCTGGTTTAGTCCTTCTTTAGTCCTGGTTTAGTCCTGGTTTAGTCCTTCTTTAGTCCTGGTTTAGATCTTCTTTAGTCCTGGGTAAGTCCTTCTTTAGTCCTGGTTTAGTCCTGGTTTAGATCTTCTTTAGTCCTGGGTAAGTCCTTCTTTAGTCCTGTTTTAGTCCTGGTTTAGACCTTCTTTAGTCCTGGTTTAGATCTTCTTTAGTCCTGTTTAGTTCCTTCTTTAGTCCTGGTTTAGACTTTCTTTAGTCCTGGTTTAGATCTTCTTTAGTCCTGGGTAAGTCCTTCTTTAGTCCTGTTTTAGTCCTGGTTTAATCCTAGTTAAGTCCTTCTTTAGTCCTGGTTTAGTCCTTTTTTAGTCCTGGTTTAGTCCTTCTTTAGTCCTGGTTTAGTCCTTCTTTAGTCCTGGTTTAGATCTTCTTTAGTCCTGGGTAAGTCCTTCTTTAGTCCTGGTTTAGTCCTGGTTCAAGTCCTAGTTAAGTTCTTCTTTAGTCCTGGTTTAGTCCTTTTAATCCTAGTTAAGTCCTTCTTTAGTCCTGGTTTAGTCCTTCTTTAGTCCTGGTTTAGATCTTCTTTAGTCCTGGGTAAGTCCTTCTTTTAGTCCTGGTTTATTCCTAGTTAAGTCCTGGTTTAGTTCTTTTTTAGTCCTAGTTTAGCCCTTCTTTAGTCCTGTTTTAGTCCTGGTTCAGTCCTTCTTTAGTCCTGGTTTACTCCTTATTTAGTCCTGGTTTAGTCCTGTTTTAGTCCTTTTTTAGTCCTGGTTTAGTCCTGTTTAAGACATGGTTGGTTCCTTCTTCTTGCAGTGTTACTGTGAGGTGGTCTCGCCTCTCCACAGACCTGACCTGTCCGTATCTTGGCCCGGTGCTCGTCCCCATGGAGAGAAAACAAGATCCGCTCGGTGTCACAGAAAAGTTACACGGTGAGACTTTAAACTTTCCCTGACCTCGGCCAATCACTTCCTCAGAATCATAAAACAGATTAAACAGAATGAGTTTGAGTTTATGACCAAATCGTGACTCAGTTAAAATATTTACACTACGAACCACGACGGCTGTAAAAAAAAAAAAAAAATACCGAAAGTCAGATGTTGGTATCGAAACTAGATTCTTATTTCCGCAGGTGTTGATGCAAAAAAAAAGTCCCAGCTGCCATATTTACATGAGAGCTTTAATTCTGAATAAAAATAATTCTGAAAAAAAAAAAAAAGAAAGTATTCTGCTTTAAAAAGACCAGGTAAACGCTTAATTCCAAAACAAAATGATTATTAATTAAACAATTAAACTTAATTCTAAAGTAAGTGGGTGGTTTATTCTGATTTTAAAGCTGAATTCATTTATTCCTCGATCATGTAAATCAGGGGTGTTCACACTTTTTCAGCGTGTGAGTTACTACAAAATGACCAAGTCATAATGATCGACCTAATACAAAACCAAACAAACTGCACTGAAACACTCTGTGCCCCTTTTCTGGACCCTCCCCCACAGTTTGAGAACCTCTTCTTTAAGAGAACTTCCTCTGGCACTTTACACAAAACTGTGAAAAAAGTGAAGGAAGATTTTTAAACCTGTTTTTTAAAGTTCCAAACTGGAGTTTCATTCTTTTCTGGTTTTGCAGTGATATTTACCAGCCTCTGCACGTTTACCAAACCAAACGCACATCGTGACAAACACAGATGCATTTGTCACTTTTGTTAGACAAACTTCAGCCAAATGTGGCAGTAGGTCTGTTCTGTAGATCCGCTCTATGCTGTAGACCTGCTTTGTGCCAACACTGGAACACAAATTTAGACTGGTTTTTTGCTTCACGTTTGGTCTTGTTCTTCTAATCAGCCGCACTGTGGGAGGGGCTTGTGTTGGCTGTACGCAGGAAGGAGCGAGAGCGTGAAAAGGCGAGGGGCGGCGTGCTGACGTGAGGCAGGTGGACAGGTAGGATGTTTAGGAAGTTGAACCTGCCCTGTGATGCACGCTGGTACACGAGGGCACACGCTGTCGCAGACGAGCCGTGCATAGGGAGCGTGTGTGTTTGTGATGCGCCGTAGAGTCTCCGCGGGTTTCAAATGAGCGCACAGGCTGCACTGAGACGCCCCACACGCTCCTGCACCCGCTACAAGTTTATTACCAACAGCAGCGGCCGGAATGAAATATGATCACACTTGTTGAGTGTCAGACCTCGAGTGAGAGACAAGACCGAGTCCAAACACGAGTCCGAGACGAGACACGACGATCTACACACACGACCTTGGCGATCGACTGGTAGATCAGGATCGACGTATTGAGCACCTCTGATGTAAATGTTTATTCTTCTTAAAAATAATTCGTCGTTCAGCGCATGTTCGTTGTCTGATATAAAAATGTATTGAATCCGGATCATATGTCTCTAGTTTTGAAACTGTTGACTTTTTCTTATATTTTTGCGAGTGGGATATGTTTTAAACAGACCATGTACATGGAACAAAAATTATTTCCCAAATTTCAAAGACCTGCAAATCATGTCAATAAATGGATGTATTTCTCATATCTTGTGTATTCATCTTTGAACTGTTGATGAAGTACTAGGGCGTTCATAAAAAAATTGCCGATACGATACACATCGATACAGTGCACTTTCGATTTGATATGATATATTTCAAATCAATTTGATACGGTTCAATAAAAAATAAAGGCTAAATCATAGCTGTGATACTAAAAGTCTTTGTTAAACCACTTCTTCTTGTGCAAAGTTCATATGAAACACAAACATTTTAATCATCAAAACAGTGAAAATGTCAAATGTGTCGCATAAATGAGTTTCCTTTCACTCCACAAGCAACAAAACTGTAGCTCTGCAACAAAATAATTGAGTAAAACACACCTAAAAATACTCTTGGCGATATATCGATACAGCAGCCCACGATATCGATACTGTATCATCACATTAAACGATACGATATATCGATATTCCGATATTTTTGCACACCCCTAGATGGTACATGAGTTTGTTTTTTTATGTATTTAAAATGATAAAAATGTTCTTGGAAGGACTGACATATTTTATAGAAATAGTTTCTTTCATTTTGAAGTAATATTAAAGTTTTCAGAAGAAAAAAGCGACAAATGATGTAAAATCCTGCACCTTCTACTTGTTTGAACAATTTTTCCTGTTACTTTTCCCTCCGTTACCATGAACCTTTCTTAATAAAAAAATCTCATGAGTCAAAAAGTAAGAGGTTTTTCAACCTAATCTTGTACCATATGGTAGAAAAAAACTATATGAAGCAAATATTCAAACCAGTTTGTTAAGGATATTGTAAGTGAGAACCAAGAGTTATCACTGTTTGGATTTATTGACCAAAAAGTGCTGCATATTTCATTCCCTCCGTTACCGACATGAGTTTTTAAATTTTTTGTCAACAACTTGAAAGAATCTCACAGGTTTAACTTGACCCTGTTGGAGTGTAACTCTTTCCTACATTCTGATACTTTACTTATTTCAATAGTTCCTCTAGTTTCTGAATAAGAGACATTTGAATGTAAAAAATCTGCCCCTGTTTCCCTCCGTTACCACTTGACTGGACCCATTTTGTTTAGACGGTGACGGCGTTTTGGGGGATTAAAAACACAAAAATCTGAAACCTCCCTGCAGAGTGGAACAGTTGAATTCGCTCCGTCGTAGTGTTTCCGTTGACACTGCCCAAGACGCAAAACTCTGGTCAGATCTGCTCAGGTCGCGTACGTGTTTACGTCACATACATCACCACCGAGCCGCTTTGCGCACACACACAATCGAAATCCACACACTTTTGCGTCACCGTATGCACGCAGATTTCCTCCCGAAAACGCTCGTCTAAACGCGGAATAAAAAGTGAAGACGCGACGCCACTTTTTGCGTCTTCTGTTCAGACCCTCATCATATAAACGTAGCCTCAGTTTGTCTTCTTCCTCTCTTCCCTTCTCCTCCTGAGCTGACAGACGTAAAGTGTGATGAAACAATTCTCCAGCTGCTGCAAGAAAAGTTTGGATGGCGTTTGTGTCCGTGGAGGAACGACAAACCGAGATGACAGAAAAGCCGGGAGCAGCTGAAGTGTGTGTTTTCTTCTGGTCGGCGTAAATTCGTTTGTGTCTCTGTCCAGTCAGTCCACCCCCAGACCCTGAGCGGAACTAAATAAAGACGATTTAACGTGTTTTATGTTGTTTTTGTTTTGCAGCTGGTCTCATTTAGTCCTTCTTTAGTCTTTCTTTAGTTCTGGTTTAGCTCTGGTTTAGTCCTTCTTTAGTCCTAGTTTAGTCCTGGTTTAACCCTGGTTTAGTCCTGGTTAATCCTGGTTTAGTCCTTCTGTAGTCCTGGTTTAGTCCTGGTTTAGCCCTGGTTAATCCTGGTTTAGTCCTTCTTTAGCCCTGGTTTTTAATCCTGGTTTAATCCTGGTTTAGTCCTTCTTTAGTCCTGGTTTAGTCCTGGTTTAGTCCTGGTTTAGTCTTTGTTTAGTCCTTGTTTAGTCCTGGTTTAGTCCTGCTTTAGTCCTTGTTTAGTCCTGGTTTAGTCCTTGTTTAGTCCTGTTTTAGTCCTGGTTTAGTCCTGGTTTAGTCCTTTTAGTCCTTTTAGTTTAGTCCTGGTTTAGTCCTGGTTTAGTCCTGGTTTTAGTCCTGGTTTAGTCCTGGTTTAGTCCTGCTTTAGTCCGTGTTTAGTCCTTGTTTAGTCCTTGTTTAGTCCTGGTTTAGTCCTGGTTTAGTCCTTGTTTAGTCCTGGTTTAGTCCTGGTTTAGTCCTGATTTTAGTCCTGATTTAGTCCTTGTTTAGTCTTGGTTTAGTCCTTGTTTAGTCCTTGTTTAGTCCTGGTTTAGTCCTGGTTTAGTCCTGGTTTAGTCCTGATTTTAGTCCTGGTTTAGTCCTGGTTTAGTCCTCTCCGTTTAGTCCTGGTTTAGTCCTGGTCCTGGACAGGGGGCAGTGAAGCAGCAGTGAAACAGATCTACAGAGTTCAGTAGAGTTTGTGTCTTACCCATGAGTCCACAGGAGAACAGGGCCGTGCCTTGGCTCATGGTCCGGGCCGGGATCTGGCAACGACAACGAGGACAATCAATTATTTACTATTCTAGATTATTCCGGAAGTTTAATCATCATTCAGGATGTGTGTTTGTTTTGTGTGGATCTCGACAGTAAAAGTAAAGTTCAATCTGGACGATAAAGTCGATGTAAAACCTCCAGAGAATCACACTGAACATTTTACACGAATAAACTAAAACTTTATGTCAGATTTAAGATGGAAAACGTTTCCAGAATTATTCCCGATTAACCGGAAGTGCCGCTTCCGGTTAATTGGGAATAATCCTAAATCAGGTTAATCCTAAATCCCTCTTTTTTTAAAAAAAGAGGGATTTAGGAGCGATTAGAGACAAAAGGGTGTGGACGGAATAAGATGGAGAACTGTTTGGAGTTAATGATGGACCTGTTTTAGACCGGGTTTAGACCTGGGCTGGACAAGGTTTAGGCCAGGTTTAGTCCTAAAATAGATCTGGTTTAGTCCTAGACTGGACCTGGTTTAGACCGGGTTTAGACCTGGGCTGGACCTGATTTAGACCGGGTTTGGTCCTAAAATAGATCTGGTTTAGACCGAGTTTAGACCTAAAACAGATCTGGTTTAGGCCAAGTTTAGACCTGGGCTGGACCTGGTTTAGACCGGGTTTAGTCCTAAAATAGATCTGGTTTAGGCCGAGTTTAGACCTGGGCTGGACCTGGTTTAGACCGGGTTTAGTCCTAAAATAGATCTGGTTTAGGCCGAGTTTAGACTTGGGCTGGATCTGGTTTAGGCCAAGTTTAGTCCTAAAATAGATCTGGTTTAGATCAGGTTTAGTCCTAGACTGGACCTGATTTGGACCGGGTTTAGTCCTGAGCTAGATCTGGTTTAGGCCGGGTTTAGACCTGGGCTGGATCTGGGTTCTTATTTGACATTTTATCTGCCCGCATCTCAGTCTGACTCTACAGGACACAGGAGGACGGGAGGGCATCTGACACAAACACAGAGGGCAGTGGGAGGGCATCTGACACAAACACAGAGGGCAGTGGGAGGGCATCTGACACAAACACAGAGGGCAGTGGGAGGGCATCTGACGTTTCTCACCGGTCCCACACTGGAGCTTTTGAACGTTACATCTTCGTTGGCGTTTTTGTCGAGCGTTTTCTTCCCCACGATCACCATCTCCAAACACATTTCTGTTCCGCGCTTTCACAAACGGCTCCAGAACTGCACAAATAATCCATGTTCTAGAAAGTTCCGGCTTCAAACTCCTCCAGGAAAGTGTCGTCAAAAATCTGCAATGACATAGATAAAGACATTTAGATTTAAAACTTTTATCAAATTATATCTGAAACATTTAAACGTCCGATATTACACGAAATGGACTTTTGTGAGCTTCAAGTCATGTTCTTCCGTGTACCGTTCTTTTTTTTTTAAGAACGAAAAACAATAAAATGGAAAAACAGTTTGTTAATTCATTATTGCATTTTAGTGTAAAAAAAAAACGAATTTCAAACTCTATTTCCAATAATTACCGTATTTTTCGGACCATAAGGCGCACTTAAAATCCTTTAATTTTCTCAAAAATCGACAGTGCGCCTTATAATCCAAAAAATACGGTAACGGTGTCAAACAAAAACATTAATTTTAAGTTTATTTCAAATAACACACACACAAAAATTTGTCTTGGTCTTGGTGCGTATTTTAATTTGATATTTTATTCTTTTCTAGCAGCAGAATTTCCAGGGCAAATAAACCAGAGAAAATAAAATATCAAAACTGAAAAAGGCACAGAGATTTTTGATTGGTGTTATTTGAAATAAACTTTACATTAAACATTGGAAATAGAGGTCAAAATCTGTTTTTTGTTTGACACTAATACAGAAAAATTAAATTCCTGTTTTATTGTTTTTCGTTCTTAATTGAAATTCAGAAGAACAAATTTGCAAAAACAGAGCTGGAGTTGTGTTTTGTTTCATTCATGTTTGAGTAACTCTTTATTATCAGTCTGTCTACATCTTCTGAAGTTTAAAATGCTCCATGTTCCACCTTGTGATGTCATGAAGGGGGACACAGCAAAAACAGGAGGGTTAAAATTTCAGGGTAAAATATCTCAAGAGTTGTTTTTAAAACATAAAGTGTTATTTTAATTATTTGAAAGTTAAATGGAGGTTGGAGTTGGGGTTATTTTCCAGATTTGATATGGTTGAAGTTAATTCAACTTCCACTAGTGTTAATTCAACTTCCACTAGTGTTAATTCAACTTCCACTGGTGTTAATTCACCTTCTACTAGTGTTAATTTGGCTCCTCGCACCCTCCACTTCAAACTCCCGTGAGAGAAGACCAGTTTGAACCAATTTTGTTCATAATTTCATCTTAAATTAACTCAAATAAAGTGTAAAAATAAAACTCCTCTGTGTGTTGTTTAGCTAAATCAGGATAACTCTACAAAGTGTTATCCGTTTACTCTGGAAACGTTAATATAACTCTTGATTTCGGGGTGAAACAGGAACTTTGGTCCAGTCTTACTTAATTTAACATTTCCAAAAACATTAAATTAACTCTAGAACAGATTGGACTCAAATAAACTCTGAGAAAATGTTAAAACTGATTCTGTGAAAGTCAATTTTAACACTTCACTTTTTGCTGAGTAGTTTTCAAGTTAGTCACTACCTTTAAGCTTTAGTTCAGTAGAGCTAAAGGGACTGAGACCAGGACTGAGACCGGGACCAGACCAGGACTGAGACCGGGACCAGACCAGGACTGAGACCGGGACCAGACCGGGACTCAAGTGTTTTTTCATTTTCTTAATTTTGTTTTTATTTGGAGAAACGAATGAACGAATGATACATGAAAGTAGAAAGACCCGTTTTTGGTCAGATTCTGCTCTGAATAAAGTCTAATTCGAGTAAAAGAGCTTCAGACAGAGCAGAGCCTCCAGTTAGCGTCACACGCCCAAGGAATTCTGATGATAGTGAACTGAATCATTCTTAAAACACTCCAGCTTCAGTTCTATATTCCGCAAACGTGGAAGTGAAATTACCGTCTTTAAACAGAAACTGGACGAAAATATCTTTACTCAGCTGTTTTGGTTCTATATTTTTTCATATTTTTCTGTTTCTGTGTTAAGTTTAGCAGCAGTAGAGTTAGAGTGAGTGGGCGATTTGTTATTTTTTTAAAGGATCAGGGGTCAGGAGGGTCTGCTCACGGGAAATGTGGAAAATAGGTGAATTTTTTAAATAATTTTGAGCATTTTAAAGGAGATTTTTGTTGGTCAAATATATAATAATCTGACAAAAATGACTGGGTCTTAAACAGGCCGACTCATATTTTAAAGAGCACATAAAACGCTTTTTTTCTGATCTGTTCTAAAGTCGTTTCCTCGTCACAAACAGACCTGGAGTTGTGTTTTTTTTGTTTTTTGTTTCATTCACATGTTTCACACACAAACTCTGCACATTTAGGCTGAGTTCTTCTGTTTTTGTTGTTGTGTTTTTAAACTCCACACACCTTCACTAGAATCATTTTGGGCGATTTCAGCTCTAGAATTGCCGATCTCTAGGTTAGGGATGTGCAAAAATATTGAAATATCGATATATCGTTTTGTTTAATTTGGCGAAACAGTATCGATATCGTGGGCTGCTGTATCGATGTTTCCAAGGAAAATGTTTTAAACCAGATCTTTGGCATTTTTTATCCTAACAACATGAAAATTGGCAAACGCCCGTCCCATGAGCATGACTCCCTCCAAATTTGAGATCGGTCCGATGAGTGGTTTGTGAGTTATGCGTGGAACAAACAAACAAAAAAACAAACAAACAGACACAGACAGACGTTCCTTGCACTAACAGACAGATTATTTTGTGTACGAGCTGCAGTTGTGTATCACATTTTCACTGTTTTGATGAGTAAAAATGGGCATTTTCCATCTTAACTTTGCAAAAATTTAGTAGACTTCGTGGACTTTTAATATCACAGCCATGATCTAGCCTCAAACTGAAATATATCGTATCGAATCGTATTGAATCAAAAGTGCACTTGCATCGAAAAACTTATTGTACCGTATCGTGGCCTGTGTATCGAGGTATGTATCGTATCGGCAACTTCTTAGGTTACGTTTACACTGAAACGAATCACCGGTTCAACAATAGACACGCCGTTTCTGTGTTCACAATCAAAGCCTTTCAGATCCACACGGTAACGAGAAACCTCCTGAAACACTGGTCACATGACGAGGCTGAGGTCACATCGTCACGTCGTCATGTGAGCGGTAAAAACAAAGAAGTGGAGCACCGTGTCTGAACTTGCAGCAGCTGAATTAGAGCCATGATTTAGCCTCTTTTTCACTGAACCAAATTGAATTGATTTGAATTATATCGAATCGTATTGAATCAAAAGTGCACTTGCATCGAAAAATGTATCGTATCGTGGCCTGTGTATCGAGGTATGTATCGTATCGGCAATTTCTTAGGTTACGTTTACACTGAAACGAATCACCTTTTCAACAAAACGATCTGCCTCCAGACACGTCGTTTCTGTGTCCACGAGGCTGAGGTCACATCGTCACGACGTCATGTGAGCCGTAAAAACAAAGAAGTGGAGCACCGTGTCTGAAGTTTCGAGCCGAGGAAGATGCCAAGCGTGAAAACAGTCTTTTCATGGACCGACGACAAGGTTCAGTTGTTTCTGAACGTAACACTGGATTTTAAGATGAGCATTTCTCCGCTGTTTCCTGTTTGTCTCTGCTTTGTCTAAACTGTTTTCCACAACAGCGTCACATGACGATGTCACGAACCCAGAGAATCAGGAAGGAGCGAGTCACAGTGACGTGGTCCAATAAGGACGAGACTCGAGCTCCTACATCAACATATCGACGATATTTAGGCGTCCACACTGGGGCTGGGCTCTCCTCGGGGTCACAGAGACCCAAAGACATTTTTTTTTTTCCCTTCCCGCTCCCTTGGGGCGGGTCAATCAGACCCAAACATTTATTTTCAAATAAATTCTTGCCAGGCGAGAAAATACCTTTTTTGGGTCTGATTAACCCGCCCCAAAAGAGCGGGAAGGAAAAAAATTTTTTCTTTGGGTCAACGTGACCCCGAGGAGAGTGTGAGGGCTAAGAAGTTGCCGACACGATACATATCTCGATACACTGCACTTTCGATTTCATACGATATATTTTAAATCGATTCGATGCGGTTCAATAAAAATAAAGCCTAAATCATGTCTGTGACACTAAAAGTCTTTGTTAAATCACTTCTTGTGCAAAGTTCATATGAAACACAAACATTTTAATCATCAAAACAGTGAAAATTTCAAATTTGTTGCATAAATGAGTTTCCTTCCTCTGAACAAACAACAAAACTGTAGCTGTAACAAAATAATTGAGTAAAATAAACCAAAAAATCCTCTCGGTGATATATCGATACAGCAGCCCACGATATCGATACTGTATCATCACATTAAACGATAAATGATGCCCAGCCCTACTAAAGGTTGAAAGGAGCTGCTAACATGAAAAAAAAGACTCAAAAATGTGATTAAACCAGGACTAAACAAGTCCAGGTCTGTTTTTGAGGAGGTAATAACATTAGAACATCATCTTAAAACCCTCAATACTGAACCTGGAACCTACAAAAACCACCAAAATCAAAGCCATATCCTGTCAGTTTATTCCTGTCTTTTACCGTTATCAAAATAATCCTAAAATACAGAGACATTTTGGTGCGTTTTATCTCTGTGGTGTCGCGTTCTCAGACTGTTTGACGGTTTTGCTGCGTGATCTCATCGGGGAGATACGGGGGTTTTGAACTGTCGCGGCGGACGCTGCGGAGCGGGAGATAACGCGCTATCTGAGGTTTGGACGGGGTCACGCAGCTGTCCTCACCAGAGATACACCAAAAAACGTTACAAATGCTCAGGCAAATGAGGCTGACGGGAAAACAGTCTGGCCTGAAGTTACCTAACAACTCAAAGTCTTTTATTGGACGGAGTAAAAAAGGAAGAAAATGGAATCTGGGATGTAAAAATAACCAAAATATCGTGATATTGTATCGTCAAAAGTCTCTCAATAATATCGCGGGCTGTCATAAGATATCGAATCACAAGTTCCTTTGCTTAAATGCAGGTTTTATAGCAGCAACAGCTTTTGAGTAAAGAGAACTACATATCCCATGATTCATTTCAGCACAGACAACATGAAGAAACATGTTTTTTAATTGAATTCTTGGGATTATGACAGAAATAATTCACACCAAACTCTTGTCAAGGTGTTTTAAAGGCAAAAAGTGCCAA